GTAATGGTTGAGAGAAAGCCAAAAACAACACCTCAACATTATTCTTTTTTCTCCTCTTATATGGCTGACTTAAACACAGAAGCTCTAGAAGAAAATCTTCTCAAAGTAAAGTCTCTAAGTAAAGCTTGCATTCCACAGAGGGATATTTATGTCCACTTGAATACCTACTTAAACCTTCAACAGCCAGAGTAAGTTTCTAATGAATTCTGTTTGCAGATGTGTGTAGAGACAATAATGGAATATACACAGCAGGGTAATGATCCGGGAACAATGTGCCCAGGACTAGGGGTGGTATATGTGTAGGCCCTCCAGATTTTGAATCCCAATTCTCATAAGTCCTCACCACAAGTGCTGTTTGGAGCTGGTGGGTGTTTTAAGTCCAAAAATATTTAGAGAACCACAGCTTCCTCATGCCTACCCTAAACCTACTTTTTTAAAAAAATTAATGGGACTCTACATAAAGAGGTTCTTTGGTTTGAGATGGACCTAATGTCTTTATTCTACAGCTTTTTCAGTCCAATAAGATGGCGCCTTGCAGGAGGAAAGAATCTAGTGGTGTATGGTGACTGCATTAACATGTAGTACTAAAATATGGTTTAGTGTTAACACAATGAGCTGTAATAAGCCAAGGGCTTGCATGCCCTTCTTTTCCTCTCTTCTGGCACAACATCAAGAAGAACACTACTGTATGTCTGCACTACATAACTATATCTGTTTGATATGACTTTAATAATAATAGCTCCATGGACTTCTGTGAATTTATAAACTGTAATTCATACAGGTACGACTATGCTTGACTGCTCTAATGCACTCCCTGAACCACATTTCCAAAGGTACTTGTGAGAAGAAGGACTGTGGGTTAAATCAAATGTTGTAGTATACACAGGGAAGAAGGGGTAACAGCTACTTCAGCATATGTGATAACAAGTCCAGTTAGAGAACTGTCATCATGAAGGTCTTTCACATATAACTAACACTTTAAAAGCAAGTACTGTACGTACTGTGAAGAAGGTTGCAGGGCACAATCCCTCCCTCCCCCAGTTGGAGTTCTGGATGCAATTTGCTGGCATAAGGCCTTCTCCAGGAAAGCATAAAACAAAGAAATCTGGGCAGTCTCTTTCACTTCATTTTCCTAAATACAGCTTCATTTCACATGAACAAGACTTACTACATAAATTAGTTGGAATAAATGTCAAGGACAAAGATAAGAGCATAATAATAATCAAAAACCCTGAACAAAACAGTATTTAGAATGGCTAACTTTGTTTTGTGAAACTATCAAGCAGAGCTGAGGAACAGATATCCAATTCAACATGTCAGTTGGGAACTGCCTTCCTCTCCTACAATCCTAAAAGAAGTAAGAATGTATGTAAACTACACAGTTACAGTAGATTGATGCCACTTTAACTGCCATGGCTTTATCCTGCAGAATCTTCGGGTTTGCAGTTTAGTAATATACTTATGGTTATCTGCTACAATACTATAGTACTGCAGATCAGGGGGCAACATTGGAGCTCTCTCTAGCAAATAATTCTAAATATTTAACCAGCCTCAGGATTCCATAGGATGACACAATAATATTGTGAACCGGTGTAACTATGAAGTATAGATAAATTCAAATAACCTGCAGACAGAACAGAAGAAATGGGGTATGTGTTCTTGTTCTTTTAAATTAGAGGCAACCTAATAATCCTAGCATGTTTTTCCAGCCAGATCTTCAGGTCACAAACAGGAAGTGAAATGAACCATTTGGAACATAAGCAATCACATTGGTACACATAGGGACAGACAACAATAGATGAATATATAGCTCACTGTTTCCTTCCAGGGGTAATGAAATACCAGAAAAAGAGGAACTCTGGCATAATAGTCAGTCCCTTTCTCCACCCTTAATAAAGCTACAACCTAATACAGCATCCTGGACTCTCATCATCTTTTACCAAAAACAAGAACTTGATTAAAGCACAGGACAAGTGGCTCTGTATATAGATACAGTATAGAAGAAAACCACAGATATAGGTGAGCCAGAGGGAGACAAGGTCAAGATCAGCCTTCCCCAATCTCATGGTCTTTTAAGTATGCTGCACTATAGTTCCTTCCATTCCCAGTCAACATGGTCATTGATGGTGAGAGCTCAAGAACAACACATATAAAGAGCACAAGGTTGGGAAAGATTGGTCTAAGGCAAAAGATGTTCAGTTGCTCCTCTAGCTTTTCATATTGATTAGCTCTCCTCTGACTGGTTATAGTAACTAGAGATGGGCACTTCGTATTTGCATCTTGGGGATATGAATACGAACTACAGCACCATAAGGTGCTGTGGGTGCCCAATTCCTTCCCCCAGAACCGACTGGCTCTGTGTGGGGCTGTGGTCCTCCTTTGGCAGTGGTGCATCAATTCCAGTAGGAGTCTTGCCAGCCCTTCCCCGCCCCCTGTAAAGCCAACCACTTTGGCATGGAGGTGGGATGGGGAGTCTTCCTACTCAGCCAATGAGTGGTGAGCTGTGCAGGGGTGGTGGGAAAGGGCTGGGCAGGCTCCTGCCAGAATTCGTGCACTGCCGCTAGAGGAGGATTGCAGTGCTGTGTGGAGCCCAATGAGTGGGCCAGCTGGTTCTGGGGTACGGAATTGGGCCCCAGAAGCAACTGTGGTGCCGCGGTTCATATTTGTATCCCCAAGATACGAATACTAAGTGCCCATCTCTCATAATGACTACTGCTACAGCAGATTAATAAAAAGAAACCAAATCTGGTCCTCCTAATTGCTGCCTTCTATGACCTATGTAAAATGGTCTATGTCTAAATTATTTGTGATCAAAGGCATTACAGCTGAGCAAAATGTGTGTGGTACAATTCTGGACTGTTAGCCAAAGATAACTTGTACCCAATGTTCCCTCTAATTCTCAGCTCTGCTGGGTAGGGCTCTGTCCCTCACATGCATGATTTCTCTACCACTCCACGTGGGATTCCACCACGATCAGAACCAAAGGGGCTGTAAACACTCACTGTGGGTGCATGGAGGAAGAGGAATGCTGCGTGGAGGGGGAGGGGGCACAGTGTTGTGTGCCCATGCAGTGATGCAACTTAAGAAAAAACTGTGGTTGTATCACAGTTATTAATGTTCCTCAAACTAAAAGAGTCCTTGAGTGTAGCAAAGCAGACATTAGAGAAAGGCTTTATTAACCTTTTCTACGTAATATTTGTTACCCAAGCAAAACATCTGCCATTCTCCCACCAAAAAATTTTTTTCTGTAACATTTTAAAATCTACCTTGGGTACCATGAGAAGAGAAAAAAATAGTTATTATCTTAGATGCTCTATTTCTGACATCCACAGATCTCAAATAGCTGAGCAACCACATTTCAGAAACAGATGACAAAGTGTTCAATGGAGCATGCTCTGGTGATACTATAGGCACTAGCCAATAGGCACCTAAGGCAGTATCACTATCCTTTCAAAAGGAGGAACTGGTCTTTTTTTCACTTCAAACAGGAATCATGCCCAAATTTGGCTTCCAATATCTATCACAAAAAGTACAAATTAGTATTATTATCAATCATATTTATGCATCTGTTTACACACACATGCACATACTCTTTTTGTGCACAGAAAGTCCTACAGACAGAAGATAACACTTTGTGAATCTCTCAGAGAGGGCTCTAATTCTTGAAAGCTTGTATCATTGATTATTAGTGTTTAAGGTGCCAGCAGTTTCTGTGGTGTGCTGTATGGACTAACATGATTTTTCCTTTAACAATTTCTACTAATTGGCACTAACGGCAATAAATATAAATAATATATGTTATACTTTCTGAATAAACTATTTGCTTATATTTTCAGTACAAATGAATCATGCTGCACACAAAAGCTTTTACTGCATTAAAATGTAGTAAAAGTAGTAAAATGTAGAATAAAACTACTAAAATGTATTAACTACTAAAATGTTCTACATTTTACTACTAAAATGTGGTAGAATGTAGTAAAATGTAGAATAGTGTGGCATACAGGGCCACACTATTCTTATAACAACTGTTCCTTTAGGTTATGAATTTTTTTAAAAACAAACTCTATTATAGCAATTTAATTTAGAGGTAATCGAGGCATAAGTGGTCTGGTCTATTTATTTTAATCCTGGAAGACATGAAGCAGTTGACACATGACCTCCAGATAAAGAGACACACACCTTGCCACAGCCACCACTTGAGTATCAAGCTCAAATACCAGTTCAAGGAATACATCCAAGCCATAAACTTGCTCTTTCACAGAAAGTACAATCCACCTCAAAAAAAGCTGCCTGTCTGTTCTTTACCTGACAAGCCTATCAACCATGAACATGCTTGACTTTAGCTTCAAATCTAGAATGAGCTTCAGTTTATTGGCCCCTACCCATTACTGACTCCAAACACCTGTTCAAGGACATGGCTGCCTTATCACAGTCCAAGAGAGATATAACTGGGTATCATCAACATTCTGATGACATCAACAAACTCTTAAAACCTTGCACGACCTCTCCAGTGGCTTCATATAGATATTACAAAAACGTGAGACAGAATAAAAGCTAAGACAACCAACCGTATAATTAATTCTCTAGTGGTGGAGCAGTACGATCATCCTTTGGAAAGTACTTGACAGGGAAGAAAAGAAAACACAACCAAATTGATGGACACATACCTGATAAGCAGTGTAAAAGATATCACAGCTTATGGTACGGAAGTCTTACTTTGAAAAAGGTGAGAACACCTTTCTTTCGTCTAGTTCCAGCAAAAGACGTTCCACCAGTGCAACCGAAGCACTTTCTATTGTACATGCAGGGGTGAAGCACGAATGAAAATCAATTTAAACAATAGTTTGTTCAAGTTTCAACTGGAGATGAGTATAATCATCCACTCCAACACTTAGTCCTTAAACAAAGAAGGAGCAACCTCCCAATTTTAACTCTAACCTCAGATTAGGAACAGATCATATATTTGAATGAATGAACAAATGAGTAAGTAAGATGCTTACACCAGAGCTCATAATAGTAATTGCAGCACTGAGACTGTCCACAGCAATGGCCTGTTTCGCAGATGTAACTCTGATTGTTGATTCCTATACATATTTCTTTGTCCTAGAATATGAAAGAGAAATAGATTAGTGGCAGCAGTTAAAATATGAAGAAAGTCCATGTATTTTAAAGAAGAACTAAACCTCAAGGAGTTGCAAGGTATGTATTAACCCACCTGTTCAAAGTCACATATAATCTGGGGCTTACCTGAGAGATGCATACCAAGCTTTTCAACTCAAGTCCAGCCTTGAAAACAGTACTGGCATCCTTATTAATACAGATCTTCCAAATTACATCTAATGGAATAAAATCAGCCAGCAAGTTTCCAACACTTCAGTTGAAAACTTATGTATACTAAGTCAGATCTTTGTTCCATCTATTCCAGTACACACTGACAGGTTGTCCCTCTGCAGGATTTCAGGAAGAGGTTTTCCCTCCAGGGAATTTATACATGCAAAGCATGTGCTCACCACTAAGCACATGTATAGAAGAAGAAGGTGTACATAAAATGGTACAACAGACGGTGGGTATCCAATGTGGTGTAGTAGACAGAATAATGGACTAGTACTCAGGAGGCCTGGGTTTGATTCCCTGCTCAGCCATGGAAGTTCACTGGATGTGTGAAACTGGTAAAACCGCTCCTTAAATCGCTCCTCACTTATCTTGAAAGTTCCATTAGGGTCACTATAAGTCAATTCTGACTTGACCGCACATAATAAAACAACAGAACAGATAATATATTTTAATTGCGGGGGGAGGAACACAATTTTGGAATGCTCACCTTGCATGAAAAACATAACTCTCTTTGAAAGAAGTCAGGAGAGCAAAATAGAGGGGTGTTTTATAATTTTCTTCTGTCATGCTAATGATCGTCTGGTGAGAAGTTCGACAACAGAGGAAGAATAAGAGGATACTGGTTAACAGGAAATAGTATACCTATTTGTTCTTACACTAAAATATTTGTTTATACAGTGGTGCCTCGCTAGATGATGATAATCCCTTCCACTGAAATACCTGTTTAGCAAAATCATCTAGCGAAAAGCATTTCCCTATTGGAATGCATTGAAACCTGTTTAATGCATTCCAATGGGGAAGAATTATCGTTGTCTAGCAAAGGTCGGCCATAGGAAAGCCGCTTTGCGAATCGCCGATCAGCTGTTTAAATAGCTGTCTTGCGAAGCTTAGGTCCCGAAAACCCACGTTTTGTGAGTGCGGAGGGAGCTGTCAAAATTGCTGTCTAGCGAAAATTGGTCTGCAAAGCAGGGACCAAGCACTGTCCAGCGAAACTCCCCCATAGGAATCACTGTTTTGCGAATCGCTATAGCGATCGTAAAAAGTCAATGTCTAGTGAAAAAACTGTCATGTGGGGTAACTGTCTAGCGAGGCACCACTGTACTAAAATAGGAGGATGAGTGTGGCTGCTTTTAAAGATGGTATCTTCTCTTTAGTTTGGATACAGCCCACCTTACCACCTGTGGATGAATGTTACCATCTTTCTGCTAAGCATGCAGAGATGGCCTCTTTTAGCCTTTCACTAGCCCTGTTATTCCCAAAGCTGCTCCAAACCACTACTCCTAAAATCTTCAGAGGAGGCCCTTCTCTCAATCCCAGTTCCTTCACATTGGGTGGCAAGTCCTTTCGGCAGCAACTGAAGACCATAGCTATAGATAGGCTTTTAATAACTTACTGGACCATAAAGTTATTACAGTATATGTGTGTTTTAATGTATTTAAGGTGTTTTAAACCAGTGGTTCTTAACCTTTGTTACTCAGATGCTTTTGAACTGCAACTCCCAGAAACCCCAGTCAGCACAGCTGGTGGTGAAGGCTTCTGGGAGTTCCAGTCCAAAACTCCTGAGTAACCCAAGGTTAAGAACCAGTGTTTTAAACTGTTTAATTAATTGTTTTTAATACTATTCTATATTTAGTAGATTTTTAACGCAATGTTTACTGAATTTTTAGCTGGTTTGTTTTTTAACAATTTCTGACCTACCTTGGGTCCCAGTATTGGGAGAAAAGCAACATAAAATAGAATAAATATATTTACATGTTTTATCTTTTCTAGTGTCTTGATAAAACTATTTCCACTTTCATTCTCTAGGTTGTAGGCCCTTCTGCCCTGCACTTCAACCTTAACCTGTTGCCTTGTCATGAGGAAAACATATGCATATATACAACTTGCACTTCTGACAAACAGGATATATTTAGAAAATCACTTTTTAAAACTGAAATGCAAAATACTTTTTTTAAAAATTTATACTTCTGAACTCAAGATCAGATTTATGTAAATTTATGTCATATATAATGAAATCAAGGGATTATTCAATGGCCAAAATCTTACTCAGTTTTTATGGCAGCGTAATGCCTGGGTGTAAATCTTTGTGCCCAGTTGCGGCAAGTTAATAAGTTAATGTAGGCACTTGCTGCTGCATGATGACTTGTGGGACTGAGTGTGTCAATTATCATCTGATGGCAATTCATCACCATTTTATATCAATTTCATTATAGCAGTATGTGCAACTAATAGAATTTGGGACAATGTGTATCTAATACTTTCAGAATCAGAAATGTTAGTAATTAAGATGAGGGCAATGAAGGCTCCTTTCACAAAAAGTAATCTTATGGTCATGCAATCTTGCTCTGCATAATTAACAGTACAGTTTAAAATAAAACAAGCTTTCCAATAAAATGTCTTCCTGGAATACTCCTGCAGTCCAGGACATAAGCCAAGTCAGTCATACTTTATCATCATCATGTAATCCTCCCTGAAGGCCACCTCTTTAGACAGCTGAGAGATGGAAAACAACTATCACCCGAAAGTAACAACACTGGGGTGTAATGGCACAGACACCATGGGCAATACCTAAAACCTTGTTTAATAACTTTGAAAATAGAGTTACAGCTGGAATGGAGCACTGTGATGAATCAAATGGATCAGATCTAGCCTAAAGTACAATATACATAATGAAAGCAAACTTGCAGTGTTATTTTTACAGTATCACCAGTGCACACAGGAGGCATGAGAGCAAAGAGAATTACTGTAAATCCTCCTTTATTTTTCCTAGTACCCTAAGATCTGCCAACTTAGGCCAATTCAAACACTGTCTCAGTCCATAGATATGAGCTACATCCAGAATGAAGAAACAAATACACTTCCTAGCACCTTCTTAGATTAAGAATTTCTTTTCAGTACTAGAATTGAGCTGAATTACATACAAATCTATCCCTAGTTTCCCAACTCCAAGAAACTTTCTTCTATTTTGATATGTGGCAGGAGATTTTTGTTATTGCTGTTTAATGATTTAGAGACATAAACTTTGACATACTGCAAATCACTGAAAGATTAACCAACAGCCCTACTTGATATTTCTTCTGCCCATCCCTACCTTACAAGTACTAGTAAAAAGTAAATCACTTTCCCCAAATTCTGTCTTTTAAGTTCTCCTCCCCAACACCTTTTCTTTTTAGGGTGAAACAGAATACTGTATAGAAACAGAACAGCCAGAACTTGGGGAAACAGTTTCCAGGTACCTGGGAAGCTTTACTCTTTCACTTTCTCCAATTGGGGCAAGTAATGCAGTCTCAAGAAATGTTCTTCTAAGTTCAGACTGAGTCCTGAGCCAGTCACTCCTTCCCTTTTACCAACTACAGAAGCAGTGGCCATAATTAAGCCAACCGACAACTCACTTTCTTGTCTCCTTGTTTCTCAGGGCAGTGATCCTGGGGAAGTAGGAGACCCTCTTGAATGTTCTCCATCCCTGGCATACAAGGGAGGAATAACCAGGGATCACTGTAATCAAGTACAGTCGCACATGCTTAGTTGCACTATGATCAAGGAAGAAACCATGCTCGAAAAGACTCAGACTTGGAAACATTTTTCACAACCACCAGCCAGAAAGGCTACAGAGAGGGATCAGAGTACGCTCAGAGCCTACTGTTATACAAATTTCCTTATAAGCACAAACCAGCAGGTGGTTCCAGAGCATTGGGGCACTATCAACTGAATCTTCCAGTTGCTGTTAATTTTTTTTTTTTGCTTTCTCTTTTCTTTTTTGCATGATTTTTTATTTGTTCTTAATCACCATATTGTTGTATGTCCTGCTATACAGGCTCTGTGGGATGTTTAGGTTTTAACCTGTGAATTACTCAGAGTAGTGTTTGCACTAATGGGGCAGTATATGCATAAAATAAATAAATATAAATCACAACTTCAGAGCTCTCAACAGAAGATTGCACTGATGTCTCTTCTGAAATCTACCAGAGATTTTTGAATAATATTTCTTACCATTTCTATGGCGATTTGGGAATATTCAAAGCATCAGTGTGGAATGGTAGCTAGAATGTTAGAAATGGATTGATAGGGGAGGCAGACTGAAATCCCTGCTCAGTTAAGTCATTTAACTCATTGGGAGAACTTTGGTTAACTGCACACATTCCCTCCCTCCTTTAGTCTAACCTGACTAAAAGGGAAATAGGAGGGGAATCCATATACTGTATTTTTTATTCCATAAGACGCACTTCCCCCAAAAAAAGTGGGAGGAAAAGGGTGTGTGTCTTATGAAGCGAATACTGTAAAAAAAATCCCTCTAGTGGTCAGTCTGATAATTACACCTTTTTTACAACGGTGATCTGGAAGGACACTGCCTCAAGCTGCTGGAACTAGGCAAAACAGTGGTGGCTTAACAGACACCCCCCGCCGAGCCCATGCTGCTGTCATACGCGGCTGGACTCTGTACTCATTAGTAGCGCTGGTACTACAGGGCATCCGTAGCAGCCCTGTAGGACCAGCGCCGCTTACTGGACAGTTGGATCACATGACCAGCCAGATGCCAGGGTGGAGAAGCAGAGAGAGAGAGAGAACACTGCAGAGGAAGGGAGAAGACTCGCCCAGGTACACAGATACCATAATACAGAGGAATTCCTGGCTGGATTACTGGCTGGTGACATTAAGGGGCACATATGGATGGCAGTATCAATTAAGGGGCACAATATGGATGACAATATCAATTAAAAATGAGGTGCGTCTTATGGTAAAGTGCACCTTATGGAGCGAAAAATACGGTA